TTACAAGATCTGTCTGTTGGATTGTCTGTTCTCGGTAAGTATCAAAACACTTGGTCTTGTGTATATTGAACAGAAGAGTTTTACAGATCTTAACACTTTAATTCAAACATCATTCTTGGTTGTCTAGCTGGGATTGTGGTCTTCCTTCTTGTGGAGAAGTTGGTCCGGTATGTCGAAGAAAACTCGTCTGGGTCCAATACTTGGGGCCACCATCACCACCATGCCGGCAGTAAGAAACTGAAGGATGAAGTCGATCATAACAACGTGGACCAACAATGTTCCTCTGATGCAATTGGAAATTCATCAGAGAAAGTCTCTAGCGGCTCTAAGGATGGATCTCTCCGTAAGGTGAGAAACCAGCACTTATATGGCAGATGAGTTTGAGTTAAATTCAAGAAACAAGCAAAGTACAAAACATTGAACACACTAATTGTGATAGAAGTTTTAATTTATCAGTCTCTGGCTTGAATGAGAGGTTTAGCATACTTAATTTGGCTCCTTTTCAACTATGAGTTTCTGTTTCCTCTGTTATATGCAAACATCAATCCTTTGACCTTCTACTTGAAGCCAGACGCAGGATTCAATTCATCCTGTGGTTACTGAGTAATTCTTTCTTTTTGGGGAAACTCTGGATCATGACTTTTTGGCCCTTGCAGAGAAAGACTTCTGCTAGTGATACTGGTGATATATCTGATTCAGGCGCAGACATCACCGCTGATGGAAAATTGGACAAACCAGAACAGGAGGAGAAGCATTCAAGCCTTGTTTTTGGCTACCTCAACTTGTTCTCTGATGGTGTTGTAAGTACGTGCTCCTTTATTATTTACTAAAGAAATAGGTTTGATAGGGCCAATGAAAGATTGCGAAAGAGATGCTTCATCTGAAAAGATGAGAATTTGTTCCCGTTTTTGTTGTGCAGCACAATTTTACTGATGGAATGGCGTTAGGAAGTGCGTTTCTCATCTACGGATCAGTTGGTGGATGGTCAAGAACTATGTTTTTACTTGCTCACGAGCTTCCCCAAGAGGTTCCTACTCCATCTCGTAAACGAACTTGAAAATGTGTATAGCAGCAACAAATAACCGCTTAAAAGATCTTCAATACTTGCAGATTGGTGATTTCGGGATTCTAGTGAGGTCAGGCTTCACTGTAACAAAAGCACTCTTCTTCAACTTCCTCTCTGCACTCGCCGCACTTGCAGGAACTGCATTGGCAAGTCTATTTTAAATATCTTCACACAGCTTAAAAACCTGACAGATCTCTAGAACATTGAAACTGAACTAACTATAGTGATGTTTTGTTTCCGCCATAGGTCTTGGTCTGGGGAAATGAACCGGGACAGTCATCGCTGATTGAGGTAGTAATTGACATAGTTTGCATTGCTTCAATCTCTTGTAACATCTTAGTGTTGTTAAGATTTGGTTTGGGATTGGAATCTTGCAGGGATTCACAGCCGGGGGATTCATATACATAGCGGTTGCTGGTGTTCTTGCGGAGATGAACAACTCCGGAAAATCGACACTTAAAAACAGTGCTTGCCATTTGATGTCTTTGACGCTTGGCATGAGTGTTGCTCTTGGCATCTCTCTTATAGAATGATCTCTCTCATAACATTTGTTTTGTAACCGATATAGAAGTCCCAAGCTCGGGTTACAGGAATATTCTACTACACATTTCTTTAACTTTTGAATTGAAATCAGACATTTTTATAAACACAAACATTCTCTCAATTTACGTCTATAACGAGAGAATGAAAGAACAGAGTCCAATCCAGTCTTGGTTCGGTTTGGATTTATAAACAAATCGGTTTATAAATCAGATACTTTATACGATTTCGGTTCGGTTTAAGAAGACGCATGAAGGTAAGCACACGAGTCAAACGTGCCAGC